TATGAAAAGTTAGCAAAAAGATGGCACATCAAAACAAAATAGGCAAACATAATAAGAAAACGTTAACAAAAGAATGATACAACAAAAAGGCAATCAAAACCTCAGAAGAAAAGGTTTGCAAAAAGCTAGTAATCAAAAGAAAATACATAAAAGCAGTAAAACAATTGAATAAAAACTATACCGAAATATATAATTTAACAAGATACATTAATCAACATATTAAGGGATAAGATGCTGGGGCGGAGGTGAGTTTTCAAAATAGACGCCCCTCATGTTAGCGGTGGTGAGTGTGCGAGTATGACTGACTTGCTGAGCTGACCACGTGACCTTACTCCTTCTATTACAATTAACCCAATAGGCAAGGTGTGGATCTGAGCATTTTTGCAATTTACAAACCTTAAAGTTACCGGTAACCTCCAAACAAATTATCGCATCAATTACATCAATTTAACTATTATTCACCCCGTGGGGATCCGGGTTAGAATAGGTCCTCTGTACCCCCTTGCTTGTCGTAAAAGGCGACTAAATGGGGCGGTCTTTCGGATGAGACTGTATAAACCAAGGCCCCGTGTCACAGCAGGTGTGGCACGATAAAGATCCCTCCCTGCTCAAAGGCCCTGAGTGCCGAGCATTGGCCGAAATTTGCAGCCCTTCACCGGCAATGGTGACGTCTCCATATCAGTGAAATATTCTGGAGAGGGACGTTAAACAGTATACAAACAATCAATCAACTATTATTCTAATTATTGTTGTTTCATGTCCTCTAATGCTTGTAGGCAAGATCATCGCAGCTTGTGTTTTGCTAAATTGTAAAAGTCAAATAAAACACTTTCATGTAGATGAATTATGTCATTTATTAAAATGATGGTATACATGTGAACAATTTAACAAACAAGAAGGGGATAAGATTCACATGTTTTGCTTATCTGTTGCGTAAAATATGATAATGTCTGATCCCCCAAAAATGACCAGAAAAAAATATCTGAAGACAAGGCAATCAAAACATCATATGAAAAAGTTAGCAAAAAGATGTCACATCAAAACAAAATAAGCCACAACATGTGATATACAGGTCACATCCATGTAAGATGTGACATGCAAATCACATCCGTGCCACCCAAGGTGACCTTGCACACATCAAATCTATATGAAAGCAGTTAGCGGTAATCACTGGCCTCTCCATAGCTTGCATCTTAAAGTAATGAAATGAAAAATCTACCTTTCATTATTCCTTTACCAGTTTTCACAAACAATTTTAATAGATAGAATAATACATGTAAGCATGGAGTAAACTAATTTCACAGTAATAACAAATTAAAAAGTATTGTTAATTGAGCCAGCAAGTAAGAGAAGTCAGGAGGGGGTATTTAGATATCCAAAAGCAGTTATTCACTGTCATTGTGGGAATGAACATGTTTCTTAAGGTATTTGTAATTGCAAGAGTAGAACAAAACAGCAGTTAAAGAAGATAGTTGCAGAGAGGTTGGATTTTGAACATTGTAGAAAGTTAACAATTTCTCAAGATCTTAGAAATTATAACAAAAATACGACGGGTGTTAGAAAAATTTGTGGACAAGTTTTATTGTGAGCGCGCTATTTCTACGAAACCGGTCAAACTTTCCAATAAAATCTAAAGGACAGATGATACAAACAAAAAAGGAAAGGGATGCCTGGATTGGTATATTTTCTGGTCTCATTTCATTGAAAATGATGTAAAAAATAAAATTCTAGAATATAAAGAAATTGTAATCTTTATCTGTTGTTCAAAGTTCTACTTCTCTGAAACCATCCTTATCAATCTATACAAATATTCTTCTCTTCAAATCCCATTTTTGTGAGAATTTGAATAAAATTTCAAAAACTACGCTGTTAAACTTATTCATTCCACTCATAAAAACATGACTTAAGTTGTTCTTTTCAAATTTTTTGACAAAAATTTGTTTGTATCATCTGTCCTTAACCTATTTTCCAATAAACATATAAAACTTTTGTACTCTCTAGTGATCTTTCAAAAATACAACTTTTTAATTTTGATAAAACATGCTTCATGGAGCATGCTACAATTTGTCACGTTTACTTTACGTTATTAAATTTAAAAATGCACATTAATCTTAGATGTCGGAAAGAATTAACAACACTATTTTTGTAAAATGGACTTTATTGAATATTGGCGTATATTGCCGCGGTGAATATTTGGGGCGACCGCCGGGTCGTCCCCCAACAACAAACAATACAAGTGGCGACCCCAAGTGGGCTGAATTGTGCACTAGGTATTAAAATCACAAATGCACAACGCCACGAAAATAAAATGCAATACAGGTATATAGAATGGGCCAATATCCCATTGGCAAAGTTATAAAAAATGAATGTACGATATGGGCTAATATCCCATCAAATGTGGTACCTTTACATTCCTTAAATTAAACTATATATATGTATATATATATATATATATATATATATATATATATATATATATATATATATATATATATATATATATATATATATATATATATATATATATATATATAATTTTAGAAATTTGTTGACAAGCAAAAAAAAACCATCCCATAAACCGTTATCTCGCCAAAAGGTATGGGTGTGTACTACGTGAGGGTGTGTGTTTGTGAGGGGGGGGGGGTTTAGTCGTTGATACATATTCATACCTATGACTTTCATGCCAACTTAACCATATCCACATTTTTGAGTGGGGTCTGCGTTTCCTGGGGTAGTCCAAGGTCATTTTGCCTTAGAAAAGTAGCATGTCTTGATATAGATATTCATTTTCAAATAAGAAAAAAAGATAGGTAATGTCTGAAAAAATGAAAAAGTTATAGAACTGGACAAAGCTTGTCCGGGTTGAAAACTGGTTGTCACGTCGCCTTACGTCAATTGCTCTGTGAATTCCATGACTTCATAGTAAAAATGGTCGTAAATTTTCAAGATTTTGGTAAATAAACCTGATTTTTACATACTGTCACGACACCCTAAGCTTGATCAGTGATAACAAAGCTATTTTTCTATTTACAATTTTATATAAAAACAATTATGTAAAAATATACAGAATAAAAATTAAAGAACAATTTCAAACTGTCATTTATCGTTCATCTGGGACCACGTTCCTGAGCCGTCCACGTCCAATCCTTGTAGCAGTCCATGTTATACGGGTACCACGCCCTTGCACTGAATGCCCCAACGTCCTCGACGTCCCACGCCAATCCAAAGCGTCTTAAGCGTCTGCAGTGCTGTCAAATCCAGGAAACCACGTTTCCCCACACACGACCTCGGCCTAGCGTACCACGCCCTCGTGTAGTTGCCCAGGTTGCCACCGCCGACAGCACCAAACCATTGTGTAACCACATTTACATACATGTATCTAGAGGGACCTTCAACAAATATGCATAGACATACATAAGCTTGACCCCGAACGGGCTGCCTTACAGCATAGCATAAATTGTTTACACATATACTTGTTTAAACATACAGTTTTAACTAACATGTATCACACCGCTTCGCAAAGCAAAATATTAATACAATGTAACGTTACAATCTGAGTAATAAACTAATATCATTACTCTACGCTTAAACTCACGGCATGTGCACGTGGTAAATTTCCCGTATACAATTCAAACACTTTCTCGTGGATAAAAATAGAATATTAAGCTCAATTAACATAATACTGCATTACTTTATGATAAAATAAATGTAAGTATATTACACTTACCCTGATTGGAGATTCAGTTACCACGAATAAAACTACCTAATCCTCCATGGACATGTGAAACTACTTCCACTGGTCAAGGAAAACGTGCGCTACCAAAGACAAACCTGACAATACCTTATATAGCGACTGGCCAAATATTTAAATCACCTGAGCGTCACAATGGGGCTCCTTGCAGGATAAACGCTAAACAGAAAATAAGGGTCAACACAGGGCAATACTAATGAAAGAAAAAAACAAATAAACATATAACAAAATCAACTTTGATTGTGACATCACCTCCCCAATTCAAGAAAGTTCACTGAACTTGTGCAAAACTCACAATCAACAACAACAAAAAAACATATGTACAAAACTACAATGTTCATAATATCTCACACAAACCCTACAACCTACTTAGACAATCAGCATCGGCGTTCTGTGATCCTTTAATCGCCTCAATACAGAACATGCAAAGTTACAAAAGTAAAAATCGTCTTCCTCTTTCACAATCACCAAGGGAGAACAATATGGAATGTTCGAATTCTCAACCACTCCCGACTTTATCACGATTCTTACTTCCTCACACACTTCATCACGAGTTGTAAAAGGTAAAGGGAATAGCTTGCATCGCACAGGCTTGTCACTCGATAATTTTATATGGTGCACATCCAACGTCGTAAATCCTGGAATATCTGATAACACATCACTATACTCTTCAAGTAACGATTTCACTTGTTAATGTTCACTTATTGTCAGTTCATCACTTACTTTGACATCACTGGGTTTCTCCTTCGAAGTAGGTAGTGTTGAATCTATTAGATCATTGTCGTCAACTGAATCGTCTTCTTCAACATCCACCATAGCTGCACAAGCGACACCTAAGATACCAGCATCGACACAACACTCTTTCCTGTCAAAATATAACTTGAGCATATTTGCATGGAATGTCTTAATTTTGCCGTTTATGTCTATTCTATAATCAACTTTCCCCAATTTCTTCACTATCTCAAAAGGACCTTTCCATTGCATTAACAATTTGTTGCTATCTGTTGGTAAAAGTACAAGCATCTTCTCACCTACTGACATGTCTCTGTTTTTAGCCTTCTTGTTGTAGTGTGCTCGGTAACGTTCGGATGACTTCTCTAAATTCTCTCTGGCCAACTGACAAGTAGACTCTAGGCGTTCTCTTAGATCAACAACATAAGTACTTGTCACCTCAGAATCCGTCTCTTCTTTTGTCCAAAGCTCTCGGAGGATTCTCATCGGACCCCTGACTCTGTGTCCGTATACCAATTCAAATGGCGAAAATCCCAAACTCTCCTGTGGGGCATCTCGATACGCAAAAAGTGCTGTTGACAGGTATTTGTCCCAGTCTTTTGGCCGCTCTGAACACAGTCGTCGAAGAATCCTGCTTTAGGGTACCATTAAATCTCTCCACCAAGCCGTTACACATCGGGTGATAGGGTGTCGTGGATAACTGTTTCATCGAAAGTAAACGACTTACTTCACCCATCAACTCCGAAGTAAACTGTGTCCCCATGTCTGTCAGCAGCATCTCTTTCAGAACTCCGATTCTGCAAAATATATCTACTAAAGCCTCAGCTACTCTTTCAGTTTCTATACCTATGAGTGCAACCCCTTCTGGATAGCGTGTTGAAAAGTCAACTAAAGTTAAAATATAACGATTACCGTTATCTGTCATTGGCTGTATTGGTCCTACCAGATCAACTGCTACGCGTCTGAATGGCTCATCTATGATCGGCATAACACTCATTGGAACCTTAGTTGTCCTACCTTTAGGAGTAGTCCTATGACATATGTCGCATGATCGACAAAACCGTCTTGTGTCAGCCTGGACTCCTGGCGAATAAAACTCAGCTAGCACTTTATCAATTGTCCTGGACGTAGCTGAATGACCTGCCATTAAAGACTCATGTGCAAGTGATAAAACTTTCATTCTGTACTTCTTAGGGACAACTAGTTGAGTAAACTGCTTACCATTCTCGACTTTCTCTGACTGAAAAACTCGAAACAGCATACCTTTCTTCAAAATGTACTTTACTCTGTTGCCGTTGGTTTCCTTTCCAACCAAAGCTCTAAGATTCTTCAGCGTCTCGTCTTCTTCCTGTGCTTTTAACATATCCTCTGGACAAACTTCAGATCCTATTATTTCTGGAACAGAAAGAGGTTTTATCTTCTTACTTTCCATGCGTTTCTGTTGTCTAGTCACTACAGCATTCACAGCACTAGGCTTCCAGTCCTTGTTCAGATCGTGAGGATCTCTAGCATGCGGAATTTTTCCGATAGTCAAAGGATATAATGGAGCATGTAGGCACCACGCATTCACTTCTCCTACGAAATACGGAGTGTCAACATTCACCTTTGCGATAGGGGTTTCAATTTTGGATCCGTCTGCCAAAACACACACTTGATGGTCTCCAGTAAGTTGATCATCATTAACAAGACTCCTACGCACTATTACACCATTGCATCCCGTGTCTCTAAGTACTTGAACAGACTGATCATTAATTTCACCAACACAAACAGGCATCTGATCTGAGAAATTAGCTACACTGCAAGCTGATGTAGTTAATAAGTCTGACGAATTTGCCATTGAAAATGTTGAAGTTGATGTTATAGATGTAAAAGCAGAGCACTTGCCTGAATCTGTGGTTTCCTTCAAATTGCTTCCTGACTCACTTGAAGCATCCGCTTTCACCGCGAAGCTTTGATTCTTACTTGATGACTGTTTACACTGCGAGGCTATATGTCCTAGCCTGGAACATTTGTAGCATCGAATATCCTTCCCTGTCTTCTTCTTTTGTGAAAAGGACTGACCATTAGTCTTCGGCGGCACTTGCTCCTTCTGGTTGCGTTGATCTCTTGCTGCAACTGGATTTCTGTTTTCAAATATCGTTTCCTTTTTGCTAGAAGAAACTAAAGTTAATATGTTTGCATGACACGCCTCTTTGAACTGATCTCTTCAATACTTTTTGGAATACGCTCCTTTAGGAACAACGATAAGTCTCTATTACAGATTGATATGAACTGATCTCGCAACACTAAGTCATATAGTCCGTTGTAAGTTTTGTTAACTTTTCCAAACTCAATCCATCTATCTAGATAACTTCCTAAACGAACTGCAAATTGTGTAAAGGTTTCACCTACCTATATTCTCGAAAACCGTCCTCTGTTTTCTCAAACCTCCTCAGCAAAGTTGTTTTAAGGACTGCATAATCCAGAGCCTTTTCTTGTGGAAGTAGGGCATAGACATCAAGAGCTCGTCCTTTAAGTAATGCGCTTAAGTTCACGGCCCACATTCCTTCGTTCCACTTCTGTGCTATAGCGTATCTTTCAAATCGTCTAAGAAAAGAGTCTATGTCATCTTTAACCTCATCAAAGTATGGCATTTTAGGAAACTTTGCTAATGAACCATCAGATATGACTGACTTAGCACCTTTAGATTCTGTCTCTTTCAAACTCAACTGGTATTTACGTTCTTGTACATTAGCTTGGTACTTACTTTCCAGTGCATCTAGTGATTTCTTTTATTCTAGTCGGAGCTTCTCTACTTCCAACGCTTCCCTCTTCAATTCATAGTCTCTGTCCTCCTTTTGTCTCTCTCTTTGCTCAACTCTGAGTTCTCGCAGATGTGCCTGCTGTTCACGGATAAACCTCTGAAGATCCGCTCCCGTCAACTCCAAACTTTGACCATATGCAGTCAGCTCTTTTAACAAATCCATCTCAAAAATCGCCAGTAAATAAACCAACTTACAAACAAAAGAAAATGACACAAAAATAACAAAGCAAAATATCACTCCAGGAAAACTGAACTAAATCGAAATCAAACCTTTATAATACAAACTAATTCATGGTAACGTCCTCTCCTCTCAGGGTCCCTTAGCTTTTCTCTGAACGTCTCTCTACAACAGTACAATAAAAAAAATATAAAAACTTCAACACAAGAAAATACTACAATATTTTTTTCCAACGTTCAACCTAAATTACACGAAACTATTCTTTAACAAAAACTATCACTGATCAAAGCTAACATCACATCCCACTTCTGACACCATTTGTCACGACACCCTAAGCTTGATCAGTGATAACAAAACTATTTTTCTATTTACAATTTTATATAAAAACAATTATGTACAAATATACAAAATGAAAATTAAAGAACAATTTCAAAATGTCATTTATCGTTCATCTGGGACCACGTTCCTGAGCCGTCCACGTCCAATCCTTGTAGCAGTCCATGTTATACGGGTACCCTGCCCTTGCACTGAATGCCCCGACGTCCTCGACGTCCCACGCCAATCCAAAGCGTCTTAAGCGTCTGCAGTGCTGACAAATCCAGGAAACCACGTTTCCCCACACACTGCCTTGGTCTAGCGTACCACGCCCTCGTGTAGTCGCCCAGGTTGCCACCGCCGACAGCACCAAACCATTGTGTAACCACATTTACATACATGTATCTAGAGGGACTTTCAACAAATATGCGTAGACATACATAAGCTTGACCCCGAACGGGCTGCCTTACAGCATAATATAAATTTTTTACACATATACTTGTTTAAACATACAGTTTTAACTAACATGTATCACACCGCTTCGCAAAGCAAAATATTAATACAATGTAACGTTACACTCTGAGTAATAAACTAATATCATTACTCTACGCTTAAACTCACGGCATGTGCACGTGGTAAATTTCCCGTATACAATTCAAACACTTTCTCGTGGATAAAAATAGAATATTAAGCTCAATTAACATAATACTGCATTACTTTATGATAAAATAAATGTAAGTAAATTACACTTACCCTGATTGGAGATTCAGTTACCACGAATAAAACTATCTAACCCTACATGGACATGTGAAACTACTTCCACTGGTCAAGGAAAACGTGCTCTACCCAAGACAAACCTTACAATACCTTATATAGCGACTGGCCAAATATTTAAATCACCTGAGCGTCACAATGGGGCTCCTTGCAGGATAAACGCTAAATACAAATAAGGGTCAACACAGGGCAATACTAATAAAAGAAAAAACAAATAAACATATAACAAAATCAACTTTGATTGTGACACATACTTATATTCTTAAATTAATCTTAAAGCAATTTATATGAAATGCATGTACCCTTTTTCATGAAGCAAAAAATAGATTTACAAATTGTGCACATAAAAACTGAAAAAAATTCTTGTTTTAATGTTTGCAGGGAGAGGGAAAGAAATCGCTGTGCCAAGTACAGAAACAGAAGAATTACAGGAAAAGAGTGGTAATTTCAAAAACTTCGTTTCTTACAGTAATCTGTTTTAAGATCTTTTTTAAAGACGAAATCCGTTTTTTCAAGCAAAAATTCTCAATTTTTATGATAAGAATGGGAGCAGATATGAAATAACAAGATATACATGCAACTTGTTTGAGCCTTAAAAACTTGTCATTGAAATATGCTGAGTTTTTCCAATATCATTTCTTACACTCATGATAAAGAAGTGGTGCAGTGGTAAGAGTATCTGCTCTAGAGCCACGAAGAAAGGAGTTGGTACTTAGATTGCAGGTTCTAATCCCTGTAAGACGTGGAAACAGGTCCTTAGAATGAGACTTTATAAACCGAGGTCCACTGTCGCAGTAAGTACTGGCACGAAAAAAGATATCTCCCTGCTTAATGACCCTAAGTGCCATGTATAGGACAAACTTTGCAGCCCTTCGCCGGTGTTACAACAAAAAGTGACCACCTCATTTCTGAAAGCTTTGAAGCTTAAATTACGAAATTAAAGTATATTATACCTTACATTAATAATACAATCCGTTTTATCCTCATAAAATAAAACAAAATTTCTATCAAAATATTTTAAGGCTATTAGAGTAAAGAGATTTGTTTTCAAAGTTGTCATTTTTATTTTTATGAAAGGTCATTTTCAGCTGGTGTCAGATTAATAAAAAAAAGTTTCCATAATGTTATATCTATCGTCTGTTTAATTTTACTCGGGATAAATATTTTGTAAATATCAAAATAAAGTTTTATTTTTCAAAAGTTTACGTAAACATTTTTGAATTTTGATCCTCTTTTTTCTGTTTGATTTTACTCGGGAGAAATATTTTGTAAATATCATAATAACGTTTTATTTTTCAAAAGTTTACGTAAACATTTTTGAATTTTGATCCTCTATTTTCTGTTTGATTTTACTCGGGATAAATATTTTGTAAATATCAAAATAAAGTTTTATCTTTCAAAAGTTTACGTAAACATTTTTGAATTTTGATCCTCAGTTTTAGTAGTTTTTTTTCTTATTCTTAGTAGTTTTTTTTTTTTACCAAAAATGGGGCGCTTGCTAGGAAAATCTTACACCAAAAATTTTTAAATTAGATTACATGTGACCTATGATATTAGGGAAACATAAGTGGTTAACTCCAAACCTTAAAATGTCTTTTGTCGTTTGCTAGTGTCAAGAAAATCGTAACAAAGTGGGATTTGTAGCATAAAAATGATTAACTAAGAAAAAAAGAAGTGCTCGTCTTATCAAATATTGGTACATGTAGTATCGTTTTCCCCTTTCTACATGTACTTACATGTGATAATTTTTTGGAGTTTCTTTTACCAATAAAAAATGTTAGCATGCATAGAAAACATTATTTAATCATAAAGGTATACTTTTTTCTTTGTTAAAATAAAAGAAATGAATCATTTCTTTCAAAAAATATGAATTACACCATCTTTACACAAGGACTTTTTAAGATATTACGTTATGCATGTCGGAATTGTAAAAAATACAACAAGAGAAACGGGATGATACTTACATTGTGCTCCATTATAATTTTTCATGCGAGATGAATTACGATGAATTTGCCTGCATTTTCAAGATATTTCAAGTCATATAAATCAAATGCCTGTTGATTTTAAAGATTTTAAGATACAAGTCATGTAAATCAAATGCCTGTTGTTTAAAAAGTGATCTGACATTTTTGGTTTTTTTAAGCGATTATTTGGGGTAGAACAATAATGTCTGTAAATAATCTATTTTTAGCATTTCACGCTGTTTGTGCACGTGTTCCTGTGTAAATTTAAGTATGTAAAGGTATTGTTTCCAATAATTAAAAATTAAGAGCAAGTTGTCAGGAAGAAATGCCAAAGTTTTGAAAATTTCACACAATGACTTTTCGGACAAAGGCCCCCCTCAAGTGTACAGAACAGAAAAAAGCATGAAATAAAATGCTTTTTAAAAGAAAATTCAAGTTTATCTGCTTTCTAATGACCAACATCATAATAAATCATCCCATTTCAATAAAAAAATTATGAGACATATTTCTCTTATGTTCTTTTTACGTCTCATATAGATGAACATTCTTGCGGGAGACATAAACCCAAATTCGGCTTACGCCTCGCCCAATATGGATTTTTTCAAGGACCACACATATTTCTGTATTACCCCTCTAAGTGTCTACATAACTAATATTATCCTAAGATGTAAAATAAAATATATTTCTCATATCGGCATAACTGGAATTATCTGTGATAATACTGTTTTATGCCTCCTATTAGAAATATCAGCCTGATAGTGCAGTGAAAAACCACCAAACACAGATATGCTGCAGTTTTGTCGAATATGTCATTCAATTTAATGACATAAAGTAAAATGTATAACAAATCATTAAGGGGGATCACCTAATATCAAACAGTACAGGTTACATGTACATAGGTGAAAGGTACAAGTGTGATCACCCTGAGACTGACTAGAAATTTTCATGCAGTGAACATATCACAGTACATGTGAACATACATAAAATATAACATAAATGAGTAAAACCTTGGATGCGTCAAAACAATTGCGCCGCAAGCCCTAACGCAGTGAGGGGTTGACGTAAAAACAAGGAGAAAATCAAAAGAAAACATTTTTATAAAAGCAGTAAAAAACATAAAAATTTATAGCATTTTTGAAGTATTTTTTTTGACCGGCAGGGGATGCTCACTCCTCCATGGCACCTGATCCCACCTCTGATGTTTCGGAGGTCCGTGTTTGCTCTGCTCTTATTTTGTATATTTGTTTAATGGACGTTGAGATTGAATACTGTTCGTTATTTCCATATCTTTCTATGATATCACATACTTTTAAGACTAGGTGTTCTTGACAAATAACGAATACTAATATAACAAATACATTAACATTTACCTGTTAGCTGTTCAATTGTGGATCAAGGGAAGCCAAAATCACTGCGAGGAATCTTTAGTATATATGTTATATTATGAAGATCTTAATCTAACCTCAAGACGATGCAGGTTGAATTTTTAACATAAAATTTACATAAGCAGCTATCCGCTGAACTCATGTATCTTAAACTAAGACTATGCAAGCAGATTTTGACGCATAATTTACATGAGCAGCAATTCGCTGAACTCATGTATCTGTACTCAAGAATAGGCAAGCAGATTTTAACACACAATTTACATGAGCGGCAATTCGCTGAACTCATGTATCTGTACTCAAGACTATGCAAGCTAGATTTTATCATACAATTAACATGAGCAGCAATTCGCGAAACTCATGTATCTCAACTCAAAACTATGCAAGCAGATTTAAACATACAGTTTACCTAAGGAGCTATCCTCTGAACTCATATATCTTAACCCAATACTATCCAAGCATATTTTGACGAATAATTTACATGAACGGCTATCCGCTGAAATAAAATATCTTAACTTAAAACTATACAAGCAGATTTTAGCATACAATTTACATGAGCAGATATCCGCTGAAGTATGTATCTTAACTCAGGTCTATGCTGGCAGATTTAAACATGCAATCTAAATGAGTTGCCATCGTCTTAAAAGACTATGCAGGCCGGTTTCAATGCTGAACTCGTTGGCATTAGTAAGTATATTATGGAGACATTATAAGTACATCAATAATGGGCTCAGTAACTTAAATACATTTTACAAAATCAACTAAGTGCTGACCTCATAAAAATTTGGCTGAATTATACAGAATTGATGACTATAGAGGATGTACATGGTACAATATTTGATAAACCATTTGCTGTTCTTTTGACCAGATTTACAAAATTAATAAAACAATTAATGTTATATAAGAAGCTAATACATTGCCTTATCTTACATTACACAGTAGATAAATGACAGGTGCTGACTACTCTATATATGATGTTCCTTGGCAGTACATGTTGGAGAAAATGATATTTGCTTTTCAACACAAATAGCTACATAGGATCCATAGGAGGAGCTTGAGCATATTGAGTGTGTAGCTTGCCCTTCCTGGTTGTGTGGATTTCAAACTTTAGTGGTATCATTTTCCATAAGTTTACTACGGAGACAGCTAATCTGCCATCAGCTAATCCGCCATCTGAAATTTGTAAGCTACATTGCCTCTCCATTATGTGACTTGGTTGTTACTGAGGTTAGACGTTGATTCCATTATAGTTCAGGTTGACCCTAGGCATC